CAGCAGACTGATCAAGTGGAGTGTCTTTGTAAACACTGCACTTCGATTTATTTCACAGAGGTTATAAAAAAGAGGCTTCTATTACCACACTTCTCTGATAGAACAGTGGGGAAAGCGTGGGCATGACCTGCAGCTGTGACTCACAATCATCAAAATATGAGCCCGGCTGGTCAGGACACTGAGGCTTCCCCCCAGCATCTCTGTCGTGACCACCACATTAGCTGCTCACTAATACACTGTCCCTCTGCTGGGAAGTAACACAATGGGCCCTCCTGGGGCAAAGGAGACCCCTGAGTTGTGAAAGGCAGGAGAGTACACAGGCACTCAAATACAGAGATCTAGGGTCAGAATAATCTGAATTGACATCTGAAGTCTTTTTCTTGTCAAGTGGCTATGTGACCAATTAAATAATTTGGTTCACCATCCCTGCATCTATAAAGTTTAAATAATGACAACTACTTCATAAGGTTGTTGAATGAATTATATGCAATATATGTAAGGTATCTTAGTGCAAAACCTTACACATGGAAGGAAAGCTCAGTGGCAGGAGGCCCTTGCTTACCCAGCTTGTTTCTTTTCCATGCACCCTAATACGATGTGGTGGAATTTCAGAGTGATCATCTATTAGGACTAGAGTGCACAGAATCCTTTCTCATGCACAATAATTGTAATACAGCATGTGTGCCTTCTCAGGACCTTGGAAAGCCATCAGGGTGGTTACAGCTTCATACCCAATTGTAAGATAAGGAGAGAGGCTCTGAATGCTGAACAACTTATCCAAAGCCACAGCGGAATAAGTAACACAACTAGGATTTGTCCCGAACATTTCTTTCCTAATTTAAGTACTCATCTCTCTGAAGTGCATCGGTATAACGTGTTCAGACTGAGCCCAAATCAATATCTCACATTACTAAAAGCAAATTAAATCAAGAATTGACCAGCTTAGCCTGTCAAACTAAAGAAATCATGTTTTCTCTTTGGGACATCTTAATGTCACAGTAATTATTAGCAAGATAAGTGACTAGGTGTTGTCTCTTTTATAAAGAATTATGAACTCTAGAATTAAATATCTTACAGTAAAAGTTTGCTGATTACTGAAGACTTTCTTACAGATCTATCTGTATCTATCTTTCTTATTATTTGAGGATATTATTAAACAGCACACTTGGTTTTTTAGTGTCACTTCATCATTGGCAAGAGACTTCAAGGGGACTTGGAGAGGCTCTCGAATTAGTAACCATAAGACTTTGTTTTGAGAGGCAGAATTTGTCAGTCACTCAGAGCAAATGGGAATACAGGTGCAGGAACAGGCAAGGGTGAGCATTACTGGTACCATAAATTTAGACAACAAGGGAGCCATTAGTTCACATTCTCAATGACCTTCAAGAGGGATATGCCACACAGGTCACCGAGGATGAACATGTATGCACAACCTTTCAAGGAGTATACCCTCTTCACTTCAAAACTCCAATCAGGGAAATGTCCCTAAATTCAACACTGTCAGTGTCACAAATACTCCTTCTCTCATATAACAAGAAGGTGCAGAGCCACAGATTCACAGAGCCACAGTATGAATCCAGGTGGTTCTCTCTACTGATACATGGGATAATTTGTTTCCCTGTGTCTATCTGATTGTCCAAGCCACTGAAAATTATCTCAGCCAATTTTCAAATTAACACAGTTCTTACATATTCAGCTTGCCCCCCTAGTAGTGAAAAGTACAACTATTAGGCACACTTTAAAAAGAGGATCAATAGTATGTTTATTGCTACATCCAACATCGTAACTGACAAATATTAAGATGTAGAATTTGGCTTCTCTTGAACATGTTCCCTAAAATCTTTATATTTGTAACAGAAGAAATGCTATCAGTTCAATAACTGTGTAGGAAGTGTTACCTGATTTGAAAGACACAGTGGTAACTTGGGAAACTTCTTGCTGTGTGACATTAGATATGCTTCATTCACTGACTTACAAAACTTCGATGGTTCCCATTGTCTGAGGAGCACAGATGAAAAGTCAACTGAGGAGTGGATTAAAAAGATGTAGTATTTTTATGCAATGGAGTACTACTCAGCTATAAACAATTATCACATTGAGATATTTATAAATGAATGAATGCAACTTGAGGCCATATTCATAACTGAAATAAACCAAACTCACATGTACCATATAGTCTCACTAGTATAAGAAATGCTAAGAGTACATAAGATTTTATGGTACTCATGGTTCCCCATTCCATTGCTTTGAAGTCTTATAATGTTTTCATTCATTGGTTGGAATGGTTGTATTCTGTTTTCTTTGATTTTATTATGTATGATGGTATGAACAGCTACTTTGAAGAAAACAAGACATGGCAGCCATGCTGATTTAATATCGTCTTGCTTTGAAATCCTGCCATCCTTTTGTTCTCCTGTTTCCACTGGTTCTATCATATTGTGTCTTATTGGATTTTAATATGTGTGATAGTATAAACAAATTTTTATGGAAAATAAGATATTATAGTAGCCATTGTTCATTTTCTGTTATTTGCTTTTGAATGTCCTTTAATACTTTCATTCTCTTGAATGGTTTTTTATGTTTGATATTATTGTGTGTGGAGGTATGATCAACTATTTTAAAGAAAAGATACATTATGGTAGCTACTGTTAATATACAATTGTCTTGCTGTGAAGTGCTGTGTTGCTTACATTGTAATGTCTGATTTGCTTTGTTCTGTCCTCTTTTATTTTATTCTCTTTAAAATAAAAATTAAAAAAAAGAAAAGTTATACAAGTCCCTTCATGATTTGACACCAGCCATTTTTTTAGCTTTATCACTCTCAACTACTGTACTGCAAATAAGCAACACCACTATCTATTGACCAAAATGCCTCTCCCTTCCTATTGCTCTGAAATTCCATCTCATACACATTTTGAGTTACGCTTACCCTTTATTCCCCAGATGAGCCGTATCACTTCACTCTTGTATCAGCAATTTTAACCTTTACTGAGCTCAGAAGGGTATTTAGAAAGCAAGTGCTGGGTTCTTTTCAAAAGACTATAATTTAGTGGATCTGAGAGTAGAGTAAGGAAACTGCATTAATAAGCAGGCAATTTGATTCAGACAGAGGTAGCCCAAAAATCAATTTTCAGAAACACTCTCTTAGACAATGTACACAGGCTATTTCCTGTCTCTGAAATATGATTCCTTTATTTTTTGTCCACAAAACTCCTATTTATTCCTTAAGGGAGGTCAAATGCAATCTGTTTTTCCTTCTAGTGTCTGCATTACATACCACTCCTACCAAATTTATTACATTTCATTGTATTTATTGTCTATCTTCTTAGATTATAAATTACATATGTACTACAAAAATGTACCATAGCTACCCAATAAGCATTCACTCATAATAATAAATGAACAAATGAAATTTGAAAATAAGGTTTGCTCAGTTTTGAAATGTTACCACTTTCATTTCTGTGGAAACCTAGAAATTCTTAATTTCCCAGTTAATATTATTTCTTAAATAAATATTTTCCTGAAAAGCACAGGAATGTGTTTCCTCTCTTCTGGATAACAACAGGTCTTATTTTGTCCCTCTTCTAACACATTCATCACATTGTCTTGTATTATGTTTATCTGTCTTTATTTCCCCTGCGTTATCTCTCTGCCTATTCCCCAGAGAATGCCTTTCCCATAAGAGGTTCCCCAACTGATCATAGAATTGTTTATGCATGTACATTAGATTGTCAGTTTTCTTCATAAAAGCATAAACTTTCTAAGGCCATCAATGGTACCATTTCCTTCTTCTAGATACATGAGAACAAAATCAGAATATACAAATACCAAAGACAATGCTTAGCTACCTAGATACACCCTAATTAAAAAGATGGGCAAATGACAGCTTCACCTTTCTAACAATAGGAGTTTATAGCCCTGAAAACTGAAGAAGTGTTCATTTATATGTGTCTCAGATATATGACTGCTCTTATCATCTCTTATCACTTATATTATTATTGTTTATTCTGAGGATAAACTCACTCAAATGAGTATACAACATAGAAGATACTTCCACCCTACATAAAATATTTAATGTATTTATCCTAAAATAGTATGTCAACATTTCTTCTCTACAATATTCAAAATAAAAATAACCAGAAAGATCCAGAGAAGACTTATTTACTCATTCACTTAACCTCTCATTCTGTGAAAAGCAAGATGTGTTTAAACACAAAGGCTGTATCGTTATCTTCTTTGTAGGCTGACTAAAAGGATTTCCACCTACCCCATTTCCTTTTAGCACCTGGTGGATGAACCAACGAATGAAAGAAAGAAAGAACTAAACAATGAAAAAGAAAATTTTATTTTTTCTCTAACCAAAAGTTTCTACTGCCAAAGTATTACAAGGTGTTATAATAAATTAAAGTGAGTTAATAGCTAGCTAAGATGTTTTCTTCAAATATCTAAATAGTATATTCTTGCCATTGTACGCACTTTGCAAAGAAAAGAAGGGATAGATTTTATCAGCCATGGACCCCCTCTTCTATATGAAGGATGCATTTAATGTTATTTCTATGCATGATATTAAATGAAGAAAATCATTAATACAGTTCATATACCTTTGGTGACTATAAGATTTTCAGTAAAGTCACAAAAGGTAAATAGACTTCTAAGAGTGTGTTTGAAATAAGCAGTCAACTATGTAGTCAGCATGTACTCAATTGACAATGAAGGGTAATCAAACTTTTAGTAGAAGAAAGGTTAAAAACACTAAAACAATAATCGAGTCACTTACTGTCAAAATAATGTTGAGAGATACTCTATTAAGTGTACATCAGGCAGCTGTCCATCGGCAAGGTGGCCACCAGAAACAGCTACGAAAGCAGACACACTACTGTGCAGTGCTCAGGGATGATGACAGATCACTCAGGGTAAAGGCCCCATGCAGTTCTCTAAATGTCTGGTTTCTGAACAATGAAACTGTGTTAACTATAGACACCATGGTCACTGTAACTCACCAGAAGACTGTGTCACTGCAGGAAGCCTGAGTACTGCTTGAAAGGACTTCCTGTTCCTCTATGGCCTGTGACTGGTCGTACCTGCAGAAAAAGAGACTCTCCTAGTTACCGGACTTTCTTTATATCTTATGACAAAGTACACACTTGGAACCCACTGAAATAGAACTGGTCAGATGTTCTCTGTTGTGCTTTTATTCTAATTCTGTGACTATAGCAAATTAAACATACAAATAAACCTTTAGGAGAACAGTCCAGAGAGAGAATCCTCTTGTTTTATAAGGATCTGAATTATCATTCCATTTTGAAAGCACAAAAAATAGATAACAGCTAAATCAGGAATTGTCAAACACAAGCAGTCATTAGGAACTAAATAGCAGCGTGGAAAACAAGTCATAATTAGAATGCACAAAGCCCTCTAAAGCAGTGTTTAAACCTTCGTGACATTGCAGAGTTTTCCTGAGTCTCCTACATTGCAGCAGAATTGAAGAGATTTCAGTAGTAAAAAAGTCAACCACAGAATTTGTCTTGCACCTAATTACCTGGAAATACCACTGAGGCTTTTGCATTCTTCTGAATTACAATCTCATAACCTTGAAGATTACTGTTGCATTAATACAGCCCCTTCAGGGAAACAATAACAAGATACGATGTTAGGATATGCATTGAGTACTGAAGACCCGAGGAAGAAGTATATGTGGGAAACCACTGACATGTTTGAAACTGACAATGAGCTATTTGTTCACATTAAACTAAGAAACTAAACTATTCCTAGAGACAGGGATAATGGTGTTACTTGTCAGATCATCTTTGGGGATTACCTACAATCTTAAAAAGATAGTGCCTTAAGTTCCAGAAAACAAAGTATATTTGAAGAAATACCTGTGATGTACCAAAATACTAAAAATACTAAGCTTCTATTTTTTATAGCTCTTTTTTCTTTCTTTCTTTCTTTCTTTCTTTCTTTCTTTCTTTTTTTTTTTTTTGTTTTTTTTTTTTGTTTTTTTTTTTTTTGTTTTTTTGTATCAGGGATCGAACTTACATAGTGCTTGCCAGGCACACATTTCTGCCACTGAGCTAAACCCCTGACCCCACTAAGCTACTACTGAGTAAGTATAAGAATCAAATAGAAATGAAAACTCCTCAGAGTTAACCTAATGAAGAAATACAAAATAATCCAACAAAAAATGGAATACAAACATCAGCAAAGTCAAAGGACTACATCAAGTAAGTTCTTCAAGTATCTGGGACTAAGAAGTGACAGGAGAGTTTTCCTGGATTTAAGCCATTGATGGAAGTAAGATGAGTTTGAATATTGACACATTTCTATTAAATTCCACCTTCGGTACCAATAAATGTTGAAAGCATTTAGTCTAAGACTTATGTTCCTCGTTTTTAAGAGGAGCTGCAAAGAAAAGATTTTAATATTTCTACAGAGTGAGAGATTTTTGAGCAAATGGTTTTTATTGTTGATGTTGAGATGTTTTTGTTTTGTTTTTTGGTTTTGGTTTTGGTACTTGGGATTGAACTCACAACCTCACACTCGCTGGGCAGGCACTTGCGCAGCCTAGCTATATCCCTGGCCCTGAGCAAATGTTGTTGAACTGGGAGCCTCCACAAAAGAAAGAAAGAAAGAAACAGCACTAAGGGTAATTTACAGTAGATTAGGTAGGAAGGACTACAGCCAATTCCATCTCAAGAGAGGCTGAGACCCAGAACCAGGAAGACAACCCTAATTGGAAAAAGTGGTTTTATTTTTCCTAAAGAGATTTATTTCTGTTCCAAAAAGTTAAAGTGAGAACCAGTATCACTCTCAAAGAGCAATGTTTTTTCTGGCTCCTCTAGCAGAAAAATGAGAAAGCCCATAGTAAACACCCAGAGGCATACATTTTCTCCAGCCTCCTCCATGCTACAGTCCCTGTATGTGCGAGTCAGTGGAGCCATTTCTATTCTTGTGCCTCTGGTTATGAGAATTGGGGCATGGGGAAACCACATGCCTGTGACTTTTTTGGCAAGCAAATGATAATCTTTTATGCTCTACAAAGTTTGTGTGGTACAATCAGGATTCACATTAATATAGATAAATACTACTCTTCTCACTGTTGAAGTGGGTGGCTATTGATGAGCAAGAACAGATTAGAACAATCAGTGCCACACTAAATTTGTGTTGAAGACCTAATTAAAATTTATTAAGAGGTTGGGTCAGTGACTTTGTGGTATAGCACTTACCTCACACCTGTAGGCTATGAGTTTGATCCACAGCATCAGAAAAATATAACCTCTTGGTTAACTTAATATAGATATAGATGTTTTTATAGAAAGAGTTGTAGATATATGTATACGTACTGATTAGTAAACACACAAATGTATTTCATCCTGTCATCCAAGAGCACCTAAGAAAAACAAAACTCCATTAACCCTGAGCATATCTGACCTCTATATCTGAGCTTGGTTTTTGATGCTTTCTACAATAAACAGGACCAGGGTTTCCAGGAGAAATGGCTGATTCTAGGACTGGTAGAGGAGATACACTAAATGAGGCTGGACCATCTTTTAGTGCCATTAAGAAAATAAAACTAAGTGCTCATACACATCATTGAGATTATATCAAAAAGGCACAGGGACCAAATGTTAAGAGCTCCCAGTGATGAAAAGTTGAATAATCTGGACATCAAAAAATAAATAAAACTCTATTAAATTAAAACTGACAATCCAAAGACATCTATACACCCATAATGTTAATACACACTTCAACAAATAAATAAATGATGGAGAAATGACAAATCTCTCATGGAGAATTCCAAACAAAGGCAGAAAACCGTAATTTTGCCCTCTATAAATGTGATCTACATATAGTGAGTTTTTTTCCAGAGATTACAGTGTGGCAAGAAGGAAAAAAGAGTAACTTTACAGTACAAAAATGTGACAAGTACTGTCTCAGCCAGGTGATCAGTGTCAGCATCAATGATGATCAATCGTGTTGAGAATATAAACATATCCATGAGATGATATGATGAAATTGAACTTTACCACTATTATTTTTCTCCCCAAAATCCACAGCCACAGTCTGATCATGAGAAAAACCTGCGACAAATTCTAGTGGAGGGTCATTCTGTCATATACCTGATAAGTACTGCTCCAAAATTGAGATGCTTAAACAAAAACAAACAAAAAAGAAAAAGAAGAGGAAGAAGAAAAGAAAAAATCTTTAAGAGTTTGCTGTAGGCAGAAACTTTTAAGTGGAACACAAGCAGCACAAACCATAATAGAAATCATTAGTAAGCTGAACTCTATGAAAATGAAAGCTTTTACTTTTCTACTAATGTTTAGAAAAGAAAGGTCAAGCCAGAGATTTCAAGAAATCATGATGATGCCAATTGTCTGACAAAAGACTTATATCTAGAATATACAAAAATCACTTACAATTTAAGAATCAAAGAACAATCTGCCCATTTGTAGGAAAAAGAATGGTAAAAGATCAAACAATTGACAAATCATTGCCCATAAGAGAAATGCAAATTAAATTAAAAATTAAATACATGTTACATCCACAAAATAGAATGACTAAAATAGGAAAACTATCTGGAAACTGGAGCTTTCAAACACTATTGTTAGAAATGTAAAATACAATGTCACTGTGGAAATCTTGTAAAGTTAAATATAAATTTACCATATAATCCATAAAATGCACTGTACTACTGAGTATTAAGAAAAATGAAAACTTATGTCTATAAAAATAAATATACACTAACATTAAAAACATGTTGTTCACAAAAATCAAAAACTAGAAACAACTTAAAGTTGACCAAGTAAATCATGGTATAGTCCTTAAATGAATACTATTTAGCAATAAAAATAGTAACTTATTCAAACATGTAAAAAGTAGAACTTTAAAAACATCGTGCTGACCAAAGAAACAGACATAAAAGCATTGTGACCCCACTTATAGAAACTCCAAAATAGAGAAATCTTTGCAGAATTAAATGAGGAAAATGATGAATTGACAATAAAAAATATAACCAGGAATAATCTCCATAACAATAGCAAACACAAGGCTGATATGAAAGACACAGAAAACATAGGGTAGAGGAGAAGACGAAGAAGGTGATTGTAAAGACCGTGGAAAGTCCTGGAGTAAAACACTCCTGCTTCAAAGAGTGACTGGATTAGACTCTTCCATGCATTAAATGGATACTTACTGTTTAAAAATTTTTAAATTTGGAGGACACCTATAATTCACCATTATTCAAAGCTCATATTCTTTAACTATTTCTCCAAATATGAGTCACAAAATATTTGTAGCAATTCTGAGTTCTATAAAAAGATTTAATTTGAAGTTTTCAATTTGATTGGCAAATGTTTTTAGTTGGCATATAGTTATACATATTTATGGGGCTCAATATCGTTTAAGTACCAAGACCTACATTATGTACAGACATGTGTATGAGTGTCTTTGTGATCACCAGTGTATTTATCTTTTAACTGAGGACTTTCTGCCCTGTGATTTCACTACCAAAATTTGAATCTCCCTTGGCAACTGCATCAATGTGAAGTAATACTACTTTAATTGCCTAAACAAATATGAACAAATCAGTGGCCCAATTTGCCAGGTGAAAGCTGAAAGGACTTTACAGTGTATCTTACAAAAATAGGTTCCACTATGTTTAGAATAGTAATATAAAAGAACTAAATCACCAAATAATATAAACATACCTAACTCAAAGGGCCATGAACTTGAATGGCACCATATATGTGGAGAAGAAAGATTTAGTGTCAGCCAAATATTACCTGCCACATTAGTTTAATAGTATTTTAAATGTTATTATTCTTGTAATACATGCTTATTTTAGTTATGTTTTCTGTTTTAAAATCCTGTAGCAGCTATAAACATAAAAAGTACACATCTGGTTTTAAGATCATTAAGTTACATATTTAAATCTCCACAAGTGAGGCACAGAAAAGTTATTTTTATATTGTATTAAATGTTATGTTTAAGATTCACATACTATACTGAAACTGATTTTTTACTATAAATTTAACACATGTATAGCTTTGTTCAGCCACCTCTACACTGAAGATATAAT